ACATTTTAACAGAGGGTGAATGGAGCAAACACTTGCTGGTTTCACAGGCAAGTAGATCTGACAGTCATCAGCATAGCAATGGAATGAAAGACCATGTTTCCTCAGGATGGACCCCAGTGGGAGCAAATAAAGTGAGAACAGAAGGGGTCCAAGAATCGAACCCTGTGGGACCCCGCAAGAAAGAGGTAATGAGGCGGATACGTTGTTACCAACCATGACACAGAAACTCCTGCCACTCAGGTATGAGCGGAACCATTCTAATGCAGCACCTGTGATCCCAACCCACTTTTCCAGCCGTGATATAAGGATACTGTGGTACCAAAGTATCAAAAGCAGCAGTAAGGTCCAGGAGCACAAGTACCACAAATTGACCAGAATCGTTTGATATAATATTGTTACAAACCCTTACTAATGCTGTTTCAGTGCTGTGGAGATGCTTAAAACCAGATTGAAAAATCTCAAAGATTCTATTCTCATTCAAAAACGTGTTTAATTGAATGAAAACTATTTTCTCCAGGATTTTGGACAGGAAGGGAAGTTTTGAGATTGGTCTGAAATTTGAGCAAGTCGAAGGGTCAAGTCCAGGTTTCTTAATTAACGGAGGAACTACTGCATGTTTGAAAACATTGGGAACCACACTTGTCACAATACTACTATTTACAATAGTAAGAACAGAGGGTCCAATCGTGGGTAGAACTTCTTTGAAAAACATCGCAGGAATGGGGTCAGCAGGGGAACCGGAGGGTTTCATCTGACTAATGACTTTGTTTAGAAATGGGAGTGAAATGGGTTTGAGCTGTATGAAGACAGCTGAGCAAGGGACAAAGACAGAGGGGTCAGTTGTGGACTGGGGGATGGATGACCTAATCAACTCTACCTTATCAGCAAAGTATCTGGTAAAGTTGTTGCAGATGTCAACAAAGGCCTCCATGCTGGCAGACCGAGGCACATTTAAAATGGAATTTACGGTATTAAAAAGAACACGGGGATTATGACTGTTTGAAGCAATGATTTGGGAGAAGTATTTGTTCTTTTCAGATTTAACGATGCTCTGATAATCTTTCAAACATGTTTTTAACATAATCAAAGAAACCTGTAATTTGTCTTTTTTCCACTTGCGTTCAGCTCTCCTGCATAGATGTTTGGCTGCTCGAGTGGTCGCGTTCAACCAGGGGTGTGGTGCCCGCTTTGGTCGCCTGATTTTTAGCGGGACCATGAGGTCTAAAATCTTAGAGCAGGTTGCATCATGCCTGCTGAGCAGCTCCTGCATACCAATTCAGGCAGAGGTTATAGGGACTGAAGCAGCATCAGTAATGAATGCAGAGGGGGAAAAAGAGCAGTGGTTGAAGAGTTAAATATCCGACAACTCTTGGCTGGAGCGGGGGATTTAGACTCATGAATAACAGAGGTTTCCAATGAAATGGGTTTGTGATCTGAAACAACATCCCCAATTTCCAGATTAACCACAGATAAACCGTGAGACAGAACTAAATAAAGTGTATGGCCCTGTTGATGAGTTGGACCAACAACATTTTGCACAAGGTTGAAAGATTGGATCAGATTTAGAAACTCCTGCACCAAAGGCTTGTCAGGACAGCAAACGTGTACATTAAAGTCTCCCAGAATCAAGACCCTGTCGTAATTGAGCAGTATTCCAGTCAGAAAGTCAGAAAATTCACTTATGAAGTTTTTGTTGTACGAGGGTGGCCTGTAGATCACGCTGCACAGTGTTGGGTTCGAGCGGCCCAGCTCAAAATACAGCAGTTCAAAACTCTGAAAAGTTACATCCTATAGCTGTCTGCAGTTCCAGAGCTTTTAAAAACTGTTAATAAACCACCACCCCTACCAGAAGTCCTTGGAGCATTAAAAAAGGCACAATCCACCGGCAAAAGTTCAGAAAAAACACTTAACTCACCAGGGATGAGCCAGGTCTCTGTAACAAACATGAAGTCCAATCCATTGGAGCAGAAAAAGTTGTTTAAGATGAAGGTTTTATTTGCCAGCGACCTCACATTCAGCAGAGCAATCTTTGTAGGACCAGTAGCTGAAGGAAAAGCTGAGCACGAAGCACAGGTCAGCTGTTTCAGATTTTTGGAGTTTGAACTGCGCCTCCTAGGACCAGAGACGCCGCAGCTGTGCGCGCGCCCACGGCGCGGGCCAGGCTCGACTACGGGGATCAGGCAGGACCCAGCAGGATAAGCGAAGCACCCGGACAGGCGAATACCCAGCAGATGGTCGGCAGGAGATGATGCAGCAGACAATCCGAAGTTGGTTAAGTTCCACTGGAGATGGCCAAAACCCCACTGCGCGAACCAGGCCCAGCCACCTGTAGCAGGCTGGAGTTGAGCGGATCAGCGAAGCATTCGGATGGACAGTTTAACATCTGATGGTCAGCAGCAGATGACGAAGCAGCAGAGAGCTTCATGCTGGCTTTAATCCACACGAGACGGCCGGCACATCTTCCACGGTGCCTGGAGCGATGTTTTCAGGTGGGCAGAAACGCCGCACGCTGCAGGTAAATGGGGACATCAACAAGCAGAGGGGGTGGGGGTCCAGAGCCCCGATCAAAGTGGTCGAACAAGGCGGGGTTTGCAGTAGATAAGTTTGAGCAGTTGTCCTTCAGTGGGAGAGTTGGGGGTTCGATTCCACCAGCAGTCACATGTTGAAGTGTCCCTGAGCAAGACACTGAACCCCTCATTATCTTTGATGTGTGTCCCATCAGTGTATGAACGTGATAAAACACTGATTATTCTTTAGATCTAGTAGAGTGCTATATGAATGTGTAAATGAAGCACAGATTGTTGTAAAGTGCTTTGAGTATCTTGATCAGATAGAAAGGTGATATATAAATGCAGTCCATTTAACATTTTAAAATTATTTAATTCAGTCCAGCAACTGTGCAGTAGTTCATGCCTTACTGTCAACTTGTGTCTACTGCATAGGCGTTGCAACCATTATGGGACAAGTCCCGCCCCACACTAAAAAAAAAAACGTTCATTTGGACCCCCCCACACTTTACTATGAAACATTAGTTCAGGTGGCGCGGTTTCTCTTTCTTCGTGAACAAATCCATTCCACTTGATTAATAGGAGAGTAATAGGAATACTCAATCTAATAAAACTCCACTCCAGGTTTTCCTGGTTACCTCCAGGTTACCTCCACCTCTACACACAGAGCAGAAACTGTGCAGGCAGCCGCTGCTGAGTCTCCTGCTTCGATAGAAAACGCGCACAGGTGTAGGAGATGGAGACACCTCTGTGTTGCTCACTCGCCAGTTTAGCAGCTTAGTGCGGGCAGTTGTTGACCAGGGGGTTGATCATCAACATATATTCATGTTAGGAGGATGCTTGAGTGCAGCGCTACATCTGTAGCATCTTAGCTTAGCAGTAAGTGTGACGCTGTAAAGCCCCCAGTATACTGCCACGTACATACGCAGAGGTATGCACGTACGTACGTAGAGGTACGTGCGTACCCCCCAGGGCATGTCCGTGCAAAGCTCAAATTTTTATGACCGCATACGCGTACGCGGTGTCGCACAATAAACTGTCCAGCGACGGACTGTTTTGTATGCGACACCAATGTATTAAATTCCCCCTTCTTCATCCCTGATCTGGCCTTTTCTTTTGTTTTTTTGCCAAGAAGCAGTGATCTCTTCCTCCTCCGTTGATGCCATGACTGAAATGGTGAGAAATGAAGGAATTTGTCACGAGCGAATTAAACTCAGGTCCAGCGTGGCTGCGGGAGGGTCAGGAGATTTCTTGGTGGGCTGGTCTGATGTGTTGGCTGTAGAGCCAGCGCTTTGTTTATTTTTTAGACATTTTTATTAACAACATATAAACACAGAACACCGCTGCGGCGGAGGCTGCCATCGCTTGCTTTTTTTTCTTTTTTCCGACCTGTCAATCAATTCAGTAGGCGTGTCAGCAAATGACCAATCGGCGACCTCAATTTGTCCCGAAGGTAAACGCCCCTCGTCTGTGAAGCTGCTCTGCAGCTGCTTGGGGTGTATGCTGGAGTACAAAGTCTGAACCCTCTGCGTACAGTACACGCGTACGTACGCGTGAACGGACATACGCGGCAGTATACTGGAGCCTTAAGACGCTACAGGTGTAAGAAACGCTGTGTGTTCAGGTGCATTAAAGTTGAAATGTTTTTAAAACCCCACACCTTATTGTCCTCAAGCTTCGTGAGAAACATCATTTAGATGAGTAGTGTTGAACACAAGTAAAAAAGTCCAGTGGTGATGTTTTTTATTTCTCTATAAACACAAATAGTGCAGATCTGACGCTCTGTATTAAAGTGTATTAAAGATAAAAGGGCTCTAAAACCCACAGCTGAATTTACACAAACTTGGTGAGAAACATGCTTTAAATGTGTGGAACTAAAGCAATTCTAGGTGAAATGTTGCTTTTTTTTGTGCATTAGAGTACATTTTTTTTGCGCGCACGCACACACCTACACACATCTTTGTGTCCCCCCCATATTATGGATGCTTCTGACGCCCTTGGTCTACTGCATTATGTTTTGCAACTGTCTGAGCTAAATTGATAAATGTCTCTTCACAGTTCATCTTGCTGAAGGTTACCCACTTCCTGTCTTAGGAAAGATGGAGCTTGTGAACCCCCAGCTTCAAATCCTGAAGGCAAGAGAAGTGATAGTTTTGTTGTTAAACTGTGCCTAAGCTGTGATGTTAAAACATTCTGATCTTCTTTCTGCAGGACTACATTCTGATCGGCACAGATGTTCAGTTCACACAGTAACTCCTGCAACCTGACAACATGCACTCCACTGGAACAACTTGTGATTTTACTCACCTGAGATCGTCTATGTTTTCGTAACAACATATTTCTGTTTTTCTTTAAATAAATGTCTTTTAATACATGCTGTAAATTGTGGTTAAAGACTGTTATAATGACAGGAGACATGTTGCAGCTCGAGGCTTTATTGTTTAGAAACAACACACTGCTTCTAAAGCAGATCGCAGCACTTTTTTAGCTGCTGACTTGAGCTGAATTTTCTCTTGAGTTTCTGACTGTGTGGACTAAAGCTACAGATGTGCTGATCTGCTGTTTTCCCTGCTTCCTGAAGAATCTCATTAAAATGCTACGGCATCAATCAAACATCCCTGTTTCAGAAAAATAATCAGAGTCAACTGTTATGAACAAATTGTTTTATATAAGGCTTAAAGTATTGTTAGCTGTAACACACACAGTCAGTGGTGACGGTATAAATATGTTTGAACTTTTCATAGCTAATTACAGCAACAGCTCTGCATGAACACACTTCGCTTCATAATAATAATTGTTTGTAAATCCACCCAGGAACATGAATACCAGGTCGGGTGGTGTCACATGTCCATCCTAGTTGTTTCCACAGGGCGAGTCAGTGTGTGTGTGTGTCGCTGCTCCTTTCAGGGAGCTCAGGCTGAGAGCTCGGCCTCTCAGGGTCTGAGACGTAGCTGATAATATCTGCAGCAGACACACACAGCAGCCGAATGTAGCCAAGCACAAACATGGAGCAAAGACTAACAAGACTTGTACACTTTAATACAGTAACATGTTTTTCTTTTCAAGTTATTAAAAAAATCATGCTTTTACTTATAGTAAGTTCATTATCGCCCAAAGGTGAGGCAGCCATGTTTGATGTTAGAAAAATATCTCATGGACCACAAGACAAAATTTAAATATTCTTTTAGAAAGTAAAGAGACAACCAACATTTTGGAATCAATCCAATTTAATTATTTTAGCTGCCATAGCTAACCAACATTAGTAAAAAAAAAAAGACAAAACTTGCTATTATTTAGCCATATTTAAAGATATGTGCTTAAATGTGATGTCACAGTGTCGTATTAGTGTGTCGACACACACCGAGCTCTAATACAACACATAATGTCATTCACATGGTTTGACCAACAGCTAAAACTTCTCATGATAACATAATCTTGGTCTAAAACTCTGGCAGGTAAAAAGCATCAGTTCAAGAGAGGCTACACCTTTATTTTATGGAACACCTTTGATGAAAATCACAAAGTGTTATAACTAAAACCTTTTCTGAATAACAGCTGCTTTTAAATAATCCACTGTCAGTACAGTGGTGTCTGAATGTTTGTGAACTCTTTATAATTTTCTATATTTCTGCATCAATAGGAACTAAAACATCGTGAGATTTTCACACGAGTCCTAAAAGTAGATCAAGAGAACCCAGTTAAACAGATGAGACAAAATATTATATTCCACCCCCCCGCACTGTTTTAAGTTTTGTTTCTGACGTGCTGCACGTTTCTTCCCGTTTGCAGTTTAATAATAACTAATAGTTTAGTTTTTCCTGTGACTTATTTGCAGTATGATAAATGGTAGGAGTATAATATACGCTCCCAATGTTTTGTTGGTCATTTTTTTTGTAAATAATTACCTTTTATTTCGGTTTTATTTATTTATTTATTTTTGTATCTTGAGATCTATGACGTCATCAAATACTCGAGTTCTACTCGGGTTTTATTATGTTAATGTCGAGTTTAAAAATTATATACTCGTTCAACCCCTAGTTCCTACCAAACCCAGACGGTTGAAGCAGATGGCCGCTTGTCCTGAGTCTGGTTCTGCTAAAGGTTTCTTCCTCATGAGGGAGTTTTTCCTTTCCATTGTTGCCTTCATGTTTGCTCAAGATGAGAGTTCTGCGATGGAGTTAAACTCAAAGCAGTTTGTTCCTCAGATAAATAATGTTAAATTATTATTTTTATATATGAAAATTTCTGTTAACTTATTTTTACATATGAATGTTTCTGTTCAGTGCCCTGAGACGACTTCTGTTGTGACTTGGTGCTACATAAATGAACTGAATTTAGCTCTACTGACTGTGGAGGCCACTGCAGTTCAGTGAACTGACACTTGTCAGACCACAGAAGTTTTATATGATCTCTTATTGTCTAACTTTGATGAGTCTGTGTTTATTCAGTTTCCTTCATAGCTGGAAGGAGTGGTACCCAGTGTGGTCTTCAGATGCTGCAGCCCATCTGCTGCAAGGTTGAACATGTGTTCAGAGTTGGTTTTCTGAAGATCTTTGTGTGTAACAAGTGATGAAGCTGTCATCTCAGACCAGTCTGACCTCTGACATTAACTAACAAGGCTTGCTGTCCACAGAACTGCTGCTCACTGGATATTTATCTGCGTTAAAATCCCAGAAGATCAGTAGTTTCTGAAATATCATGTCCAATCTCACTTTGAAAAACCGTGATAGAGTGAACATGCGAAAAATGAACCGCAAAAAAGTGAGGAACTACTGTAATACCAAAGAGTTTGTTTGTTAATGGAATCTTCTAACAAAGTTACGTCAGGTCCTCTGGACGGATTAAATATAAATAAATAAATAAATAAATAAACTTGTTGAAATGTTTCATCTTTTATCCAAAAGACTTCTTCAGTCTGAGGAGCTACAACAAACTCAGTCTTATAAATAGCACCTTCTGTTAAGCCCCCAGTATACTGCCGCGTACGTCCATACGCAGAGGTACGCACGTACGTACGCGAAGGTACGAGCGTACCCCCCAGGGCATGTCCATGCAAAGCTCAAATTTTTGCGACTGCATACGTGTACGCAGTGTCACACAATAAACTGCCCAGCGACGGACTGTTTTGTATGCGACACCAATGTATTAAATTCCCCTTCTTCATCTCTGATCTGGCCTTTTCTTTTGTTTTTTTACCAAGAGGCAGTGATCTCTTCCTCCTCCGTTGACTTCATGACTGAAATGGTGAGAAATGAAGGAATTTGTCACGAGCGAATTAAACTCAGGTCCAGCATGGCTGCGGGAGCGTCTGGAGATTTCCTGGTGGGCTGGTCTGATGTGTGGGCTGTAGAGCCAGCGCTGGTTTTTGTTTTTTTTTTAGATCTTTTTATTAACAACATATAAACACAGAACACCGCTGTGGCTGAGGCTGCCAGCGCTCGCTTTTTTTTCTTTTTTCCGACCTGTCAATCAATCCAGTAGGCGTGTCAGAAAATGACCAATCGGCGACCTCAATTTGTCCCGAAGGTAAATGCCCCTTGTCTGTGAAGCTGCTCTGCAGCTGCTCGGGGTGTACGCTGGAGTACAAAGTCTGAACCCTCTGCGTACAGTACACGCGTACATACGCGTGAACGGACGTACACGGTAGTATACTGGAGCGTTTAGTGGATCAACCAGTTTCATGTTGACATTCAGAACTAGATGTTCACATATCCTGATGCATGCTCAATACATGATAAAGTGTTCACACTGTGTTCACTGTTCACATGATAAAGGAGGACCATCAACCTAACAACTGATCGTTAATGCCCTGATGGCCACTTGTTATTCACAGTGGACTGAGTGATACTAGCAATAACAGCAATGTAAGAGGGGGACAGTTGAACACGGAGGCTTCGCCCCTGTTTAATGATGAACAGGTTCTCTTCGTAAAGATGGCCTCCTTCACTCCTGTCTCAAACCATCTCTATCTGTCCACAGCACCCGACTTTGTTAGATTTTTCCACCTGGATTATTGAGCATGAATCTGGATATTAATGGAATCTTCTTCAAACTGAACGATACTTTAAATAGTACAAGATGAAAACTATGAAAGTTTTAAAGCCATAAAAGGCAGTACAAAAGCTGTTTAAGCTATAAACTAGTATAAAATTACCATAAAGGCCTAGCATTCCTTGAATAAATGAGTATTGCCTATGCCAGCATTTTAAACCTTTTACACTGAAAAATGAGTTACAGCTGTTTTGGTCAAACCTTGAAGGTAACTTTATGCGCAGCCTCAGACAATATTGCAAGATGATGTTTATTCACATCTGCCCAGTGGTTTACGTGTTATTTCAATATCAGACACACCCAAATACAAAAACAGGCAAAAACATTATCATCTGCCTTTGCCTTTTGGCAGCAGCAGATGATAGCACCGAATATAAAAATCTGAGTGTATTTTTCAGAACCATTAGGCGTGCCCGTGATTATGAAGGCATCTACTGAGTGAAAGTATGAGTCTCACCCTACCTTGACCAGCACATAGTGTCCAGCACTGACTGGTGTGGAGCTGGATACAGCATGCTGAACATCTCCTTTAGGGAAATTCACTTTGATGTTGCCATCAGTTCTCCCACACAGGTCCTCAGCAGATCTTTTACTGTCCTTAATGAAAATGGAAACCAAGAGTTGAACAGTGTTGCCTGGTTAACAGGTTAGAGTAACATTGGACTGGTACAGAATTACAGCTGTTGCTCACAATGAGCCATGTTATAAATTACCATTTCAATTTCTTTATTTCTAAAGGAAGTAATCAAGTTCATATCTCCATCACCCTCAACTCAGCGTGGCTGAACAAAATGCTGAGCAGCACACGTCCATCTGTAGTCCTGACCTGTGATGAATGTGAAGAATGCTCTTTTCTCCTGTTTCTTATAAACTGAGTTTAAAATGTGTTCCAGAGTGTCCCTGTCAGCAGTAACACGTTTAGTGTTTACCACCTTTTAACCTCAGTTTGTCTGTACAAAGTGCTCTTCAATGTGTTTTTCATTTTCACAAACACTCAGTGTTTGTATGGTTCTCTGCATATTTGAAAAGTCAGAATTTCATGCTATTTTTTTTAATTATATTCCATTGTTGGGTCTAGCCTTGACCCAGCATTGCTCTCAAACTATAGACCAGTTTCAAAACTGCCTTTTCTGATGAAAGTTTTAGAAAAAGTTGTTAACCAACTTCAAAGATTTTTTTTACTACCGTCATTCTTGAAAAGTTCCTGTCCAGTTTTAAATCAGGCCGCAGCACAGAGACAGTCCTGGTCAAAGTTTTAAATGACCTTTAAACTGTTGAAACAGGAAGTTCTGCTGTTTTAGACCTCTCTGCTGCCTTTGATGCCGTGGACCAGAACACCTTGCTGTCTCGACTTAAACAGGTGGGTTATCAAAATAAAAGTTTTAACAGTTTAGCTCCTACCTGCAAATAAGAGTTTATTTGTTCATTTAGGGGAATATTTCTCTTCTGCAGCTCCTCTGATTTGTGGGGTCCCACAAGGGTCTATTCTAGGTCCACTTCTTTTCAAGCTCTACATGTTGCCATTGGAGTCCATTTTAGAAAATATAGCATTCCTTTTAAATGCTTTGCAGATGATATCCAGATTTATCTGCCCAATAAGTTAGACAGGGTAATTTCATTGGAACTGCTCCTGAACTGTCTAAACATTAACACCTGGTTGAAACTGAATCTAAATAAAAATAAGACTGAAGACATCAATTTTGGTAAATGCAACACTTTAGGAGAGTGTTCCAACTATTGTGGGATCACACTTCTTATCCTCCTCAGAAATGTTTACTCTTGGTAGTAAAGTTTCAACTGATTGTCAAACCTTGAATTCAGGAGGACAAGTGTGGCTTCCGTTCTGGTCTTGGAACACTGAACATGTGAAGATCTTACCACTTCCAGATTTGCTAAGGGGCTAGTGGGTGTTTGACTCTTCTGTATGTGTTTTGTGGACCTGGAGAAGGTCCACTCTGTGGGGATGTTGTAGGAGTACGGGCTCTCTTCCTGAAAGTAAAGCTATCAAGGAACTGGTCTGTCTATGCTCCAGCCCTCACCTATGGTCATGAGGTATGGATCATGACCAAAAATCCATGAACAAAATCCAATATAAAAGCAGCCAAAAGTAGCTTCGTTCATAGAGTGGCTGGGTCAGCCTTAGAAATAGGGTGAGGATGTCATCTATGCGAAGTTTGGAGTAGAGCAGCTGCTCTTTAGAATCAAAAGGAGTCAGTTGAAGAGGTTCAAGCATCTGATTCGGATGTCTCTTAGACGCCTCCCTTTAGAAGATTTACAGGCATGTCTCACTGGGAAAAAGCCTTAGGGAAGGCACTGAACTTTCTGGAGAGATTGTGTATCTTCTCTGGCCTGGGAAAGCCTCAGTGTGCCCTGAAGGGAGCTGGAGTGTCACTGGGGAGAGATGTCTGGGTTTGTCTCCTGGACCTGCAACCCTACTACAGACAAGCTGCAGAATATGGAGCTTGAGATTAAACTGTTCTGTATTTTCTGATTAAAATTATAGTAAGAGCTGCTATAAATGATATTTTTACTAAGATCCTCTTTTTGTCTTGTTGATGCTGATGTTTTGATGCCGATTATTTTTGGAGCTCTGCTCCTGGATGTTGAAGGTCTGATCTGCTCATAGTGTTTGCTCCAGATGATTTGGTTTAGGACACTTGACCCCAAAGTTTGTTGCATTTTAGTGAACTGGTGTACTGATGGTCCCATCCATCCATCCATTTTCTTCCACTTATCCAGAGTCAGGTCGTGGGAGTAACAGACCAGAGAAAGAGGCCCAGACTTCTCTCTCTTCAGCCACTTGGGGCCAGCTCCTCCAGGGGAATCCCAAGGCGTTCCCAGGCCAGTCTAGAAACATAGTCCCTCCAGCGTGTCCTGGGTCTTCCTCTGGGTCTCCTCCCGGTGGGACATGTCCGGAACACCTCACCAGGGAGGCATCCAGGAGGCATCCTAACCAGATGCCCGAGCCACCTCAATTGGCTCCTCTCAGCTGAAAGAAGCAGCGGCTCTACTCTGAGTCCTCCCGGACGACCGAGCTTCTCACCCTATCTCTAAGGGAGAGCCCAGACACCCTGCGGAGAAAACTCATTTTGGCCGCTTGTATCCGAAATCTCGTTCTTGTAGTGAACTAGGCCTCCGACAACAATCTGTCTCTGAAGACCTTCATGGGACAGGAACTGTTATTTCATTGATTTGAATCCAGAAATACAAATTATCTCATCAAGAGACTATTTATGTATCCTGAATTAATCAATTGAAAGAACACTCTTCTTTTTTACATTATCATTACTATTTTAGAATATCTTGATAATCAAAGTGTGTTTAGTTCATACCATTTCTAAATGTTGAAGTGAACCACTCATTTTAAATCAACTGTGAAACAGTATTAATGATTTTTAAACCTCATTAGACTTAGAAATCATTTTAAATGTCTATTTACAAAGTAATTGTGCATTTTGATCTTCTGTCTGAATGAGGAGTAGTGATGTCGGTCAGAAGTCAGGGATGTCGGTCAACAGTCAGAAAGCAAGTTATTAGAACGAAGTGTCTTGTTTTTAAACCTAGCAGACAGTAAATAACTTCAACTGGCATCTGCATTTGTCTCACTTCGCCATAACATTCCTCTGTCTGTACTAACCGTGCGTAAACATTCCTGCTGTCTTTTTGACTTTTAATAACCCTCTGACATCACTGAAACACCGCCCCTGCTGGTTGTTTCAACCAATCAGGAAGTACCAATTGACCGGAAGTGACTCTTTAAAAGTCAACACTTCCTGGAACTATGCAGTCTTTGACCGCAGTCTTCTCGAGTCTTCTGTCTTCTTGAGTTTTTCACCGGAGTCTTCCACTTCTGAGTGGAACTTCGGACTCAGCCTTCTTCAGTCTTCCTGGAGTCTTACTCAGTTTTCCTGAATCTTTCTTGGGACTATGTAGTCTTCCTGAGAGTTCCTAAGGAACTTTCAGATTTAATCAATAGCTGATGGATTTGACCGTGAGACGAGGGTCCGTCCATCCCAGCTGGAGTCACAGCGCCTCGTTGTGAACTCACCCGGGCGTAACGCCCTACAACTTCGAAGGAAGCTTGTTCTGTTGGACGGAGTAAAAACCACACGACTTCTGACAATGACCAGCCACCCTGACCGGAGACGCTGAAAGGTAGCGTGCATAGGGACATCTAGACCGGAGCTGATCCATCCTCTGCAAAGGTAAAGAGACGTCACGAGTTGTTACGCACTAAGTGGACCGGGAGTTTGAGCTGGTGTTGAAAGAAGCATGCTAATTCTGGTCAACAAAACATACATCTTCCTTCATCCATCTTCCTTTTGAACTTCTCCATTCCTTCCCTTAAACTTTTCTATTTTGCCAGTAACCTAGATGCCTCAATCAGTAATGTTCTGTTGTCTTGCTAGTAAAGTATGCCAAGTTTTTATTAATCAGAAACAGATCAGCAAATCAATGTGTACATGTTTTGATGTTAAATTTTGATTCTGTTAAATAAATTACTGCATTTATTCTGATGGGTCAAAGAAAAATGGTGTCTCATGTGACTGATTAAACAATCCTCACAGTTATCTCGGTCACATGGCATTAATTTAACTCGAAAAAGAAATAATCCGTTGTATTTAAATAATTAATATTCTTTGTGCTTGAACTAGCTTTAAGAATAATTAATTAGTAGTGAAGCTACAGAAAAGCTGTCCCTGCTTTACTACATTCTTCTGGTCACAACCCCAAGCTCATGACCATAGATGAGGGTAGAAACGTAGATCGACCAGTAAATGAGAGCTTCACCTTTTGACTCAACTCTCTCTTCACCATGACAAACCGGTACAGCGCCCACTTCACTGCAAATGCCGCACCTATCCGCCTATCGATCTTTTGCTCCATTTTTCTCTCATTCGTGAACAAGACCCCGTGATACTTAAGGTACTGAAGGCCATTTATAATAATTTATAATCTGTTCTAATTGTAATACCAATTAGCCCAACCTGATTGGTAACTCTAAATTGTCCCTAGCTGTGAATGAGAGAGTGAATGGTTGTTTGTCTCGTTTGTCTCTGTGTCTCTGTGATGGACTGGAAACCTGTCCAGGGTGTCCCCCGCCTCTAACACAGTGACTGCTGGATATGGGCTCCAGTGACCCCTGCGACCCAAAAAGGAATAAAGCGGGTAAAGATAATGGATGAATGGAATGATAATATTAAAGATGGCAAAGTTAAAGTTAAAACTGGGAAATATTAAAAATATTCATGTGCACAAATGGGGCTTGATTTTCAAAGTATGGCATCTCAACACATGGCTTTACAGCTTACTGGTAGCAAAAACATCAGAAATCAGTGAGACTGCATCTAAAATTAGCATAATTTCTTGCAATTTTGAATACCAAATTAAGTCTCCAACAGTTGCAGCCCAGTGAAATACTACCTTTGTGGACACGGGCTTGCACCCAGTTAACAACTGTATATCCATAAGTACAACACTATGCTTAAAATAAATAAATAAATAAACAGCATCTCAGCACAAAGCATACCATCTGTCAAGCACGGTGGTGGAGGGGTGGTGATTTGAGCACGTGTGCCCCGGACCTGTGCTCAAATCATTACTGTCAGACAGTTAAAGCAACATGTCAACGATCTTAAACACAGCAACTCATGTCAACAGAGCAACTCAAAAAGAAAAGAATGATGGTGCTGTGATGGTCCAATCAGTCCAGAACCTCAACCTGACTGCAGTGCTGTGGTGGACCCTCAGATAGCTGAGCAGAAACAAATGTCTGCAAACATCAATGAGCTGAAGCAACACTGAAAAGACAAGTGGAGCCACATTTATCTACAACTCTGTGAGAGAGCGATGGGAGTCCTACAGAAACCAGCTGCAGAGAGGTGATGGTGCTGAAAGACAAGATGCTGGATCAGGGCTGGAGTTAGGTTGTTCTTCTTTTATTAACACAGCTTTTTCATTCCAGGTTCATTTTTGTATAATAAACTACAAGTTTACAAATTACAAGCAAATTAATTATCACGTAGTAGAATCTGGTTGTTTTTGCTGACCTGACATTACTTTAATAATTTTACAACCTGATATGAGGGCCTACTTTACTTTTCACATGACTGTGCATGCACATAATACTATGTGCATGCATAATTATGAATCTTGGTCTTTTTAACCTTTAGGTTAAAAAGATCGAGAGTACTTGTACGTGTGGTTTGACACCATTAATGCTGTCTAAGTACGGTCGTTTACTCACTCCCTCTACTAGCACGAGCTGAGTGCTGCCGATCAGAGCAGCGTTGATCTTGGAAGCTTCCTCTCTGAACATGCTGCTGCTCTCCTCCAGCCTCCTCTGCTTCACATGAGCTGGGACGTTGTCCTGCAGCCGGTGGAAGGCGTGTGTCTTCTAAAGATCATCAACAGAACAAGCTCGTCTTCAATAGCTCAGCTAATTGTCAGGGAAAATACTGTGTGTTGTGTTTTCATTGCAGGGATGTAGAGGTCACCTTTCTCATGCTGTAGGCAAAAAAAAATCCCACATTGTAGCCGACCTCTCTGATCAGTGAGAGCGTCTGCTGATGATCATCCTCCGTTTCGCCACAGAAGCCTGAGATGAAGTCGCTGCTGAGGCTCACATCTGACACGTGAACATGAAGTTAGGCCAAATATACAGAGGACTTCTAAATAAAGCTAAAAATAAAAACACATTATGTGACTGGAAGCCTGAGGTAAAACTAATGGTTACAGTGTAGTGAAAAAGTATTCATCCCATTACAGATTCCTTCTGTTTTTCATGTTTTCACGTGTTTCAGATCAAGAAACCAATGATGATGATGATGATCATGATGAGGAGGAGGAGGAGGAGGAAGAGTTAATTTCAAGAAGAGAAAAAAAGTTATGTAAACTAACCTGGCCTATGTGACAATTATTTCATAATCAGTGTTTCCCCTACCATTATACAAGCGGGGCGCCCCGCCCCGTCAACAGAATCGAGCGCCCCGTCTACCGAACACCACCCCCCAACCCCAACCACCTGTCTGCACTGACGTAACGCTAAGCTAGCAGCACGCAATGCAGGTGCACTAGCTAAAAAGCTAAAGGCAGCCTCTTCCTTCATGCTGAACCCTCACGCTGAACACACCCCCGCCACTCGAAAACTGTCGGTACAAACAGCGCACGGCTCAGATGTGCGTCTGTCTCTCCCCCCGCCTAAAAAAAAAAAAAAAACCTGTCGGTTCAGACAGCGCGCGGCTGAGATGTGTGTCTGTCTCTCTCCTCTCACACACACTGGTCTAAAACTGTAAAACTGTTGGTTTAAATAGCGCGCTGCGCAGCTTAGGTCAAGTCTCCGTTCACCCCCACCCCACCCCCACCCCCCCGGTCAAAAATCATGGACGAGATGAACGCCCCGCCATGGCAAGTTATTTAGGGGAAACGCTGCATAATTATACAAAAAAATACATATGAAATAATGAAAAACAAGCAGAGTAAACAAATTTGACAAAAAACACAAATATACACAAGGTAATAAGAAGATAAGAATCTAAAAAAGTTAAATCTGGTCCTCTGGACATTAAAAAAAAACAAAAAACAAAGCAAATCAACAAAAAAATGTAGAAACGTTTCGTCTCTCATCCGAGAGACTTCCTCAGTCTGAGGAGCTGTATTCAGCTCAGTCTCTTAAATAGCACCGTCTCAGAGTGGATCAACCAGTTTTGCTGCTGACAACCAAAACCAGCTGATCACATG